ACAACAACAACAAACAAAAACAACAACAACAACAACAAACAACAACAACAACAACAACAACAACAACAACAAACAACAACAACAACAACAACAACAACAACAACAACAACAACAACAACAACAACAACAACAACAACAATAACAACAACAACAACAACAACAACAACAACAACAACAACAACAACAACAACAACAACAACAACAACAACAACAACAACAACAACCACAACAACAACAACAACAACAACCACAACAACAACAACAACAACAACAACAACAACAACAACAACAACAACAACAACAACAACAACAACAACAACAACAACAAAAACAACAACAACAACAACAGGAACAACAACAACAACAACAACAACAACAACAACAACAACAGCAGCAACAACAACAACAACAACAACAACAACAACAACAACAACAACAACAACAACAACAACAACAACAACAACAACAACAACAACAACAACAACAACAACAACAACAACAACAACAACAACAACAACAACAACAACAACAACAACAACAAGATTAGGAGCGATTGGGGACCAGTTCCTGGTCCAAGAATTGAAATACCAGCACATGTCTATGACAAAGAATTGAAATACCAATACATGTCTCTGACAAAGAATTCAAATACCAGCACATGTCTATGACAAAGAATTGAAATACCAGCACACTGACAAAGAATTGAAATATCAGCACATGTCTATGACAAAGAATTGAAATACAAGCACATGTCTATGACAAAGAATTGAAATACCAGTACATGTCTATGACAAAGAATTGAAATACCAGCACATGTCTATGACAAAGGATTGTCGAACTTATGCAAATAATAACGACTTACTAAACCGAGAGTGAGGGCTGTACGGGAAACTATCAAAACCGGATCCAAACCCTTGCTGTGCAGCAAGACAAATATTTGATATTTTCCTCTAGAGTCAGAGGATAGAGGTTAGGCCATTTTAAGGTCGGGGGATTAGAGGGAGGGAGGTAGCCGCATCTCTAATTTATTCCTAAAATATAGGAATAAATGGAACTAATTACTGTGACGTCGGGCGTGAGCAGGCGTCCAGAATTACATTGTTATCTGGACATTTATTACGTTTCCAGGCGCCATATTTAATTTAACAAGGCAGGAACAGTTTTGCTAAAAATTTGAATATTGTAGTAAAATATTTGACACGCTTAGCTATTGGGCTGCCTATATCATGGCAATACGGAAAATCCTACGATATCCGCGCCAGCTAGCCAGATTGCACGATTCATCAAAACAAATGAATATATTTGTACCTGAGCACATGAAAATATAACCAATAATATCACACAGAAAATATGATCAAGAATGATATATTTTTCTACTTCCCTCATGCACAATACAGTGTACAACAAGTAGTTAATTTCCTATTTATGTTCCTTTTACTATAATATAGTTACTGCCTTTTTCTCTTTCTTTTTCTTTTTAATGCTGAAAATGAAATAAATCAGATTAATATCAGGCTATCAGCCCAGAAATAATATCAGGCTATCAGCCCGCACATGTCTTTTAAATGTACGAATATTACCTGCGACAGATTGTTGACATGTTTTTCCTACAAATCCACGACGACAAGTGCATTTGAAAGAATTTCCTTCCTCTTTACATTTCCCTCCATTTCGACATGGAGCTGAAGAACATGGTGGTGAACCTGAAATATTTTAGTTAATTTAATTTCAATTTAATTTAATAGTTAGGAATCAAACTTTCTCTGGCTAAATATTTTTAATTACGAAATTTCGGCTATCAGATCTATAGCCTTCAACAGGTGAAGGAATATAATTTACATGATAGGACATAGCATGCAATATATATATAATACAGGAATAGCATAGGCGATTAATTATTATATAATAACGTTCGAGAATACAAGCGCTTTCATTGATCGAGAGCCATGATCTATTAGAGGACAGACGCGCGGAATTACGTCACAATTAAGGTAGCCAATAGCATTCCCTTATTTGTATAAAGCGGCGGCTCGTGAGCCACTTTTTGATTCTTCCCACATTATGACGTGATACTGTGTATCTATAACTGAACAGACAAGGGCAAAATCTTATCTATTTTCATTAAATGCAACCGTCGATCTAGGTAGGGCCACGCACATTATGCCGGTATTTCTTTTACAATATAATAGGGGATGCTTTTGCCGGGAATAATAGGCAAAAGTTGGAATAATAGGAAAACATTTTCGGTATGACGTCATCGTGCCTACGTAAATTCCGTAATTAGCATATGGGGTGCGGCGTACTCGCACGTGTGTATCGTCTCTGAATACGTCGTGTATACGTAGAATATTTGGACTAACAGCGTTATGCATTATTTGTTTGTTTAATTCATCATGCAAATTCCACATAAAATTGAAAATCTTTACGAATTTCTAGTTCCACATCCATTATATAAAGTTGAGAATAATAGGGAAATATTTATATAATTTTGGGAATAATATAGGGGATCATTTTAAGAATAATAGGATAAAGTCAAGCGAATTAAGGAATAAAGAATAGAATATTAATGGTCCAGAATCACATGGAGATACTAAAACATTTTTTCACAATTTTGGATAAAGGAATAAAAAGGGTATCAATTAATAGCAATGTGCAACAGATACGGTGCCGTAATCGTATACCTATTTCCTGACATCTTTTTCCTTTATAACCAGAAGGACATTTACACTCGAAGGAATTTCCAACATTTGAACATTCACCTTCATTTTCACATGGTCCAGAATCACACGGAGATACTAAAACATTTTTTCACAATTTTGGTTAAATGAATAAAATGGGTATCAATTAATATAGCAATGTGCAACGGATACGGTGCCGTAATCTTACCTATTTCCTGACATCTTTTTCCTTTATAACCAGAAGCACATTTACACTCGAAGGAATTTCCAACATTTGAACATTCACCTCCATTTTCACATGGTCCAGAATCACACGGAGATACTAAAACGTTTTTTTCACAATTTTGGTTAAAGGATTACAAAGGGTATCGATTAATGGAAATGTGCAAAAGAAAATGAAATAAAATGAAATCCTACCTATTTGCTGACATCTTTTCCCTTTATAACCAGAAGGACATTTACACTCGAATGAATCTCCAACATTTGAACATTTTCCTCCGTTAAAACATGATTCAGAATCACATGACGATTCTATAGAAAAACTTTTTTTAATTAATAAAATAAGCGACGTTCCTGTCCTTTTAATGCGCCACGATTATTATTTGCAATCCAAAACAAGCTAAGGAATTTATGTAATTTATAGAAATGTGTACAGTATAATAAATATTAATAATTGCATGCTCAGCTGGCTACACCATCATTGCACATTTTTTACGTGACACTGCCATTGCCCCAACCAAAATGATTACTTTCGAAAGGTGAAATAGTTTTGAAAACGAAGGGCAAGGAGTTTTTCTAATCCTTATGTTTCTTTGCCGATTAAATGCCCGTCATCAATGTGGATCCTGACTTTGTGAGTAAATCCACGTTTGAACCTTTTTCATAATTATGAAATTTGTAACGCTGTGTTGGTGTAATGTACTCAGGTGAATAAGATGTTTGTGTGATGTTACTCTGAGTGTATATCCACACCGGGCAGGCTTGAAAAATATGCCTGGCCACGGCGGGATTCGAACCTACGACCTTTGGAATACTAGCCCAACGCTCTTCCAACTGAGCTACGCGGTCAGGTCGGTTCGAGTATGCGATATTTCGGAACAGAGTCTAGTTCCTTCGATATCAGTGTAATCTAATAATCATGAAATCTGTAGCGCTGTGTTGGTGTAATATACACATGAAATATACACGAATATACACATTTCATGATTATTAGATTACACTGATATCGAAGGAACTAGATTCTGTTCCGAAATATCGCATACTCGAACCGACCTGACCAGGTCGGATAGCTCAGTTGGAAGAGCATTGGGCTAGTATTCCAAAGGTCGTATAGTATTCCAAAGGTCCCGCCGTGGCCAGGCATATTTTTCAAGCCTGCCCGGTGTGGATATACACTCAGAGTAACATCACACAAACATTTTTTCATAATTATTAACATTTCGAATGTGTTCTTTCTCCCTTGTTTCAAATTTGGAGCCCTCGATTTGTTTCGGCAAATCTGTGGGCACCCTTTCTATTATCCCCAACCCACAAATGTCTCTGAAATAAGTGAAATCACCGTTGGCTTAATTACGGACAGAATTCACGGCATATCACTACCTTTCTGTTGACATCTTTTCCCTTCAAATCCAGCAAGACAAGTGCATTTGAAAGAATTTCCTTTCTCTTTACATTTCCCTCCATTTCGACATGGAGCTGAGGAACATGGTGAACCTGAAATAATTTAGTTAGTTTAATTCAAGAATATATGGAAGATGCGTGCACAAGATTATACGTAATGAAACACAACGTTTTCTGGTTAGATATTTTATTTACGAGCATTCGGCTATTATATAGACTGACCTATAAATATATAAGGAGAACTTCGACGTTTCGAGCGAAGGCCCAACTCCAGAGGAAGAGCCTTCGCTCGAAACGTCGAAATTCTCCTTATATATTTTCAGGTATACATTACTTTCAAATATTGTAAACAGTCGCTATCGCGGCGTTGATTGGCTGGCTGCTGCCGGAAATACGTGTTTGTTATTTGCACACCCCCCCCCCCCTGACAATCCATAATCGAAAATGTATAAAATCCAACAACAATTCACCCTATACAGGTGGTATACCTCTTCTTTGATTACTGATCATTTCAGTCATGAATTTCAGGACTCAGAAAAATTACCTGTAAGAATCTTTTCCTTGAGAAACTATATTATACACAATTAAAATGACAATATTACTTTGACTCTATACCCTTTTTCTGGCATCTTTTCCCTTTAAATCCAGAAAGACAAGTACATTTGAAAGAATTTCCTTCTTCTGTACATTTCCCTCCATTTCGACATGGAGCTGAGGAACATGGTGAACCTATAGAATGACAGGTGACTTGTTTTGAACACTGTAATATTACTTTAGAGAGCGCTACCCTATTCCTCTTTTAATCAACTGAAGGCAGTGTTTGAGCATTATTAACAACTTTAAAGACTGTTTCTCTCTTTGCGTGAATGTATATTTAATAACTGTTTCCAACCCAAAATATTTAATAACTAGTGTTGCCGCCTCAATACTAAATGGCTGTTTCCCACTTTATAAACCTACCACACCCATTTCCTATTGTTTTTTGTCGAGTTCTGAAGGCTGAGCTGAAAATGTGAAACCCGGTACGGGTCTCACATTCAAAGTCTTGAATTCGGGACTTGAATTTGCAACAAAACCCTCAAAGCCCCACAACTCCTTTTCGACTAGAAAACGGTGAGCGTCTCTGAGTCGAGAAAGAGACAACAATCGTGTACCTCAGAGCCCGTCAAACTCTACCGTTAGGTAAGAGTAACTACCATTCGGCGCACAAGGACTAGCTGTATCAACCGTCAAACTTGCTTGTGCAGGGAATTTATACAGTACTGATATACTCAAAATTTAAAGATGCTGTAAAGTCCGTAATGTAAACCGCAAACGCTTTTTTTTACATTTTGAACTCAGTGCTACAATTGTAAAAAATGATTAGATATATATTATAGAGTGTTTGCATGTGACGTCATAAAAATTCTAAAAGCTTAAGCGTTTAACATATATAGTTGCCCATTTTATATATTTTGTATATCCTTGCTACAAGTAATCCTAGCAAATTTCAAGTTGATACAGTGATTCATTCGCAAGTTAAAAGGGCTTGAATAATTTATATTGCTGACATCAGCATTATTTTGAAAGGCCGTTATGAGCTACGCGGTTTTCCAAACCTAAGTTGAAATAGTTCGGTGGGCTTTCAAAAGCTTTATATACTTAACATCAAACACAATTGAGGACCTGTGTGATAAAATATATCTTTCCTTGGGCATTTACGACACGGCCGCCATGTTGGTGGTCTGAGATTGCGTAATATTGGACCATCAACATGGCGGCCGTGTAGTAAATGCTCAAGAAAAGTTATATTTTATTACACAGGTCCACAGTTATGTTTGATATTAATTATATAAAGCTTTTGAAAGCCCATCGAAATATTTCGACTTATGTTTGGAAAACCACGTAGCTTATAACGGCCTTTCAAAATAATAATGACGTCAGCAATATAAATTATTCAAGCACCTTTAACTCGCGAAGGAATTACTGTATCGACTTGAAATTTGCCAGGAATACTTGTAGTAAGGATATACAAAATATATAAAATGGGCAACTATATATGTTAAACTCTTAAGCTTTTAGAAATTTTATGACGTTACATGCAAATACTCTATACTGAATTTTTAACACTCTTCTGGTTCGCTATATGCTTGTAAATTAAAACAGACTATAGAGATTCAATTCAACAAATTTTGGAAGGTGCGAAACATTAATATAACATTCTAATGGTCGGATCCCGAGGCCTGCGCAGAACGTATGTACAGTAAGGATTTTTAAAGCATCTTTAATGGTTGTTCCCCACTGTAAATGTATGATGGTTGTTGCTAACCTGAATCTTAACCTACTGGTTTTCATACATATACATAATACGGCATCATTGGACACCCCGGGCCTCAGGTAACCCCATGGTGGTTGAGGGAGGAGTGCAGATTAAATATGTTTCAAACGAATCCTTAAATTATCAAAGAGACTTCTGAATTTCCCAATAACTGTGTTTGGAGTGTTTATCACACATGGAAGCTCAAATTCATAAATTGATATATAGTAGATTATCCTAAAGTAGTACTTGAAGCACGTAGTGAGCATATTAATTCCAAATATAATAATTTCCAAATATGGGAAATTCCGGATTTTGTTGGGTGGGCAGGTCGTCACCTCTTTCTCCAGTCTCCAATATCCCCATGGGGATAAATTGCTATTTCAATTCAATATATTTTAACTTACTACATTTCGAAAATTTCTTGAGATGTTTCCATTTGATTTCAATTCCTAAATCATCACACTCTTCTTCGTAAGCAGCGAAAGATTCACATAAACACGCCTTAGGATTATCTTCACATGCGCAGACATCGTACTCGCAATCTTTTATATAACCTGCATTGGGATCTAAGGCTTTTTTACACCTTGAAAAAGGTTGTTTTTTAAGTGCAGAACATTCTTCTTTAGCTTTCTGTGCACGTGTACTGGCATTTTTACATGGGTCCTCTTCAACAGTTTCGACATCAGGACAACTGTCACCTATTTTCCAGGAATTTCCAAATGTTACTGCTTTCTGCACAAGTCTATCTTTCGGTGTCTTAAACTCGTCATCACGTTTGCCATTAAAGTTGCCACAAAGACCAGATAATTTTCCTTCATAACTGTTGGTAACTTTGACAAAAATATTAAATACGCCATTATATTCAACAATTAAATCAATGTCTGTTGTGATCTTTATGCCACGCTTCTTAAACGTTTTGATATTTATTCCTAAACGAATATATGAAAGAAAGTTTTAAGTTTAATTGAAACAATTAAAGCAAAAGGTCTGAATTTGAACAGTGGTATAGTTAGGTAACATAGGAATAGTTAGGTAATAGTAAGTAATGAATTAAATAATATATACAAGAGGTATCACATAAATACGAATCATGCATATATGAAGAAAATAATTTTTTTATCAAATGGCCTTAATATTCAAAAAATGTTTCACCCCTGCCTGCTGGCCACAAAATACAATTGGCCACTGTACATATTAATATCGTGTAGTATCGTTTCCATCCATACCTTGGTTTGAATATGGCAATGTTACATTTGCACCATTGACCAACACATTTTCTCCTCTTCTCAGGTATATTATCGTTCCTTGTATGTTTACCGTGATAGCATTTGTACATGTCGCTTTTCCCCTACCACATGGTTCACTATCCTGTAGAATCATAAACGTTTCGTTTGAGTCCTTGGCCAAGACGTACTCACATTTTCCCATGAAGTTGTAACGTCTTCCATCAAATGTTTTGTAATGAGGATCACCTGTTGCTGAACATACTGCTACGACTGAAATGAGAAAACATCCAAGTTTCATTTTGTATTGTGGGTGTAGCCTGTTGCGTTTTGTTCACAAAGTCATATGTTGTATGAATTGGCGATTTTGTTTTTCAGATAAGCAGTTTTAATATTATTGAAGGATTGTCCTACTAGAGCAATAATTAGCTATGTGTCGTTTTTGAGGGCTCTTGATATATTTACAAAACGTTATATTGAGGAGAATATTGATCAGTAAAGTTGTACTGAGTTTAGTTCTTATCACTAGCAGGATTTACATGTGTTAGGTCTATTTCCCGCCAATAAAGGCTATACATTTGGTATATGATATAAGGTCAAATCACATCTGTATTTGATCTTAAAGTGCGCATGTCACAAAATTTCATCCCCAATTTTGTGCATCACTTGAAAGTACCTTGAAATGATGAAGAATGGCCTTAACAATTTATTCACAGCTCATCTTCTTCCCAAGTTATCAGGAATTTTGTTTATAAAATAACATATATATAACGCCTGCTCTGATTGGTCGAAACCCGTGTTTGGATCCGGTCATCCAAACACGAGAATTTAAAGTGAAAGTTTTTAAAGTGAAATTTTAACACGGAAAGTTGTTATTTTATAAAACAATTACTTTATTGTTTCCGTGTTTGGATGGCCTAATCCAAACACTTGGCTTTTCTTAACTCTCGCAACATTGTCATCCAAACACGGAAACCATAAAGTAATTGTATAATATTTGTGGTATGACATCACTATGGTTGTGCTAAAGATGGCAGCAAAAAGACGAAAGTCTAATACCCCAGAAATTCAACGAAATTAAATGAAATTGATAGTGAGTAAGTGCGCATAGCAAACATTTTGAAACGTTTCTATGGTACGGTTGTCACAGTAATACACTAGTTACCAGGACTCTCTTGTCCTATTTGTCCAATTCTTTGCTTCCAACAAAAAAGAAAGGCGTTTTTGTGATGTTCATTTATTTTTATCGTTTTTAGACATCACTAAAATAAGAAGGGGAGACCTGATAACCAGTGTATTACGATGACAACCGTATAAACGTTCCAAAATGTTTTCTTAGACGCACTTACCAACTTTCATTCAATTTCGTTGAATCACTTCTGAGATATTAGACTTTCTTCTTTTGCTGCCATCTCGAGTACAACTGGTGACGTCATAACACAAAAATACAAAATGATCGATAACTTGGGAACTAGATGAGCTGTGAATAAATTGTTCAGGCCATTCTTCATCATTTTCAAGGTACTTTTAAGTTATGCATAAAACTTTAAATCTTTTTTGTGTGAAACAGTTAAGAAACCAGACACAGTACTAAAATACGGTGCCCGCCTACAAATAAAACTTTTGGCGTTTCCGCCTGCATGTACAAGTAAAGTTATATTTAGCACGCTACACATTCTCCTGTCGGCCGCCAGTTGGTCCGTACGTTAGGATCAAAACTGCGTTTTAAAGCCTTCAAAATAAAATATTTTGGGCTCAAAATACTATCAAAATGAGAAGAAAAGTGAGACGAATCCACTGGCATACGGGCCGAAAACGAGAAAACCAACAATTCCGAAGTTATCAAGGATTAAACGGACTGCATTTTTAATTAGTTTAATAATTTTGAGCGATTTGTTAAACAATACAATTTCGCTTATTAAAACTGCACATTAAAACCTTCAAAATATAATATTTTGGGCTGAAACTACAAACAAAATAAAGAGAAAAGTGAGACAAATCGACTGGTAAACGGACGAAAAAGAGAAAACCAACAATACGAAAGTTATCAAGGTCAAATGTATTGCATTTTTAATCCCCGAGCCGACGGCGCGAAGCGCCGTACGAGGGTACTAATTCCCCCCGGCTATTTACACCCGGGGAAACGAAAGCATTAGCGAAGTCTAAAGTTCATCAAATATCGCGGGCGTGGGTCACCAACCGTGGGTGGTCATCCTCACTGATCTCAAAAATATGGCGGACTGTCATGAATACCAAACACTGTGATTGGTCCAATTTAAAGTTTGCATTATAACGACTGCATGACGACAGCGAAATAGCAAACATTTCTTGATTTGATGATTAATAAATTTCTTGCAAATATATTTCATTTTTGCTCGCAGTTTTGCAAGATTTTGTAAATTTCAAGAAAGAAATGGCGAAAGAATCGGCTAAAAGAAGGGAGTCGACGTTAACGAAGGTAAGTTTGTTTTAAATATTGATTTTATATAAATTGCTTTAAAACCCGACAGCCTTTGCGTATATGAAACAACGGCAATTGATAAAACTAGAATAGTGAAGCGAATAGTGCGAATAGTCGACGAATAGTGCGAATAGTCCGCGAATAGTCGACGAATAGTGCGAATAGTCCGCGAATAGTCGACGAATAGTGCGAATAGTCCGCGAATAGTCAACGAATAGTACGAATAGTCCGCGAATAGTCGACGAATAGTACGAATAGTCGACGAATAGTGCAATAGAGACTTTGCAAGGCTTTCCACCGTGCTGTAGAACTAAATTTACCGAAGCGGAGCGGGGGGGGGGGCTCTATTGACAAACATGAAATCGTGAAAACATTCGTTGATGTCAATGACGTCATACGTAATCGGTAAAAATTACGGGACCCCTGAGTTTTAACAAATATTTAACAGGAAGTAGAATGACAATCAGTGGCGCCGTGGGACCCATGTTTTTTTTTGGGGGGGGGGCAAGGGCAGTACTTTTCCGACAAACCGAAAAATTTTTCAAAAAGTTTTCCGGACGACAACATTTTAAATCTTCACCCCCCGTCGACAACTTTGACAATTTCCGACAGCCTTGACAATTTTCCGACAATTTCCGGCAGCATTGGCAATTTTACGACGGGTGTCAACAATAGGGGAGGGCCATGCCCCCCCTGGACCCCCCCCGGCCACGGCGCCACTGATGACAATCACTAGACGTATGACGTCATTGACGTACGTCGACGAATGTTTTCACGATTTCATGTTTGTCAACAGAGCCCCTCCCCCCCCCGGTAAATTTAGTTCTACAAAGCCTTGCAAAGTCTCTATTGCACTATTCGTACTATTCGTCGCCTATTCGTGGACTATTCGTACTATTCGCCGACTATTCGTACTATTCGTCGACTATTCGCGGACTATTCGCACTATTCGTCGACTATTCGCGGTCTATTCGCACTATTCGTCGACTATTCGCGGACTATTCGCGGACTATTCGCACTATTCGTCGACTATTCGCGGACTATTCGTCGACTATTCGCACTATTCGCTTCACTATTCTAGTTTTATCAATTGCCATGAAAGGCATGAAACAACTAAACAAGACAGCATATCGGGCCCCATTTCAGTGTATCTTTAATCATTGATTCCCTTTTTTATTATATTGAATATTTTTTAAATAAAAAAGAAAACAAAGTTATTTGCATGCTAGAATTTGAAATCATTTTATTGCAAACTCAAAGTTTATCGATAAAGCCATTTAATTAAAGAATAAAGGCAGTTTAGTTTTATAAAGAACACTTTAAAACGTTTTGCGAAGCGTTTGTGGTTGAATTTTACCTTAAATTGAAGCTTATATTACGTATAATATCATACCTAACATATATATGTTGGGAAATTGATAATTTTGTAATTAAAAGTGATATTTTTAAGCGATTTTTCATTTGTAAGAATATTCTTAAAAAATTATTGTGTTACTATGGCAACTACTTTAGATAGTTCGTGTTCGGAAAATACAATGATTTTGTCAGCAAGGCGAGGGTTTCTGCATGCATGTATTTTCTAGTTAGTTTAATAATTTTGAGCGATTTGTGAACAATACAATTTCGCTTGTCTTTCAAAGGCCATAAATCGCTAGAATACTGTAGTTTAGTAATACATTTGAAATCTGTGAGTATAATTTCTTACACTGAATCGAACGGTGGTATTTTTGTCCTTATTGGGCGCATAAAACCAGAGATAAGACGCAGCAAAAAGTCAATCGTGAGAGTGAGAGTTGTAATTCGAAAGAAAACTTTCCTCGAAAAAAGGAATTCGGAAAACGTGAAGGATTATTTTGAGCTGCTTTTGTCTTTCAAAGGCGACAAATAGCTAGAATAGAAGTCAATTTTGAAATCAATTTTCCATCCGTACACACAACTTTTCACGCTGATTCGAACAGTGGTATTTTTGTCCTTGTTTGACGCATAAAACCAGCTGAGCAAACTGTCGATCATCATGAGTGTACACGATTAATAATAATTAATAAATTCCGAGCACGTGCAAGGAATTTTTGGTAGGCGATTAAGGAAACGTATTGATGCGAACAAACTAACAAACAAACGGACAAACTAACAAACTAACAAACTCACAGGCAGAATATAATGCGGTGCCAAAAATGGCACGGGCACCGCAATTATTTTTGAAGCCTGATTTGCTTCACTTGCTCAATTAAAGGAGCCACTGCAAAGTTTTGTAATTTTTCCTTTCATAGTACAGCCCGGGTTGACTGAGCCAATCCTCCCTCTTCAAACGATTTCCCACCATTATCATAATAGGGATGTTATTAGGGCGTTAGTGAATTTGATTTATTCATTGGTAGATTCCAAATGTTTATCAAAAATAGAGTCAGTTACAGAGTCAGTACATCTTTTTAATAAACGATATATCCAGGATTGTGTATGTAAAATATTGTCCCGTGCATCATTAGTACACGTAATACATGACTTTTAGTGCAAATTGGAGACTACAGTTTTTCAAATTAAAAAAACAAAAATTACAGATTACTATAAGTAAGTCAGAGCGAAGGACATGGTCAATTTTCCGCTATGAAAATCTCACTAGATATCAGTAGATCATGTTTTAATTAAACATGTATATGAAGTACGTTTTATAAATTGTAATACCGGAATGCCGGAATATCACGGAATATGCCGGAATATCACGGAATATGCCGGAATATCACGGAATATCACGACATTTTCCCGGAATATACCGGAACATCACAATATTTTCCGATGGTAGCCATGCGACTGTTTGTAAACATGGACGTCTGACAACATATTTTATTGGTATTTAACAACTTTAATTTGGCACATAAAAAACTGAATATTTACATAACTTAAACGGACAATTACATTGTACAAGAAGACGAGGAAAGTGCCAAAAGTGGCGAAACACAAACGAGACTATGTCCCATGCAAGGTGCTCACCACTAGACAACAAACAAAGACAAGAAACAAAGACAAGGAAGATTAAATGAAAAGACTAAGAGAATGAAAAGGCAGAAAGAATGAAAAGACAAAGAGAGAAATGTTAGATATTTTTTATTGAGTCGTGATAAGTGAGTGTGAACTAGGTAAGTCAGGAGTATAAGAAGTACTAGTGAGGTGGATGTAAGTCTTGCGCAAGTATGACTTAAAAGAGGAGACAGTGACATAACAATACGAAGGAGCAGACGTACAAACATAGTTCCACAGTTTAACAATTCTAACACAATACGAACTTTGAAATGTACTTGTTTTGCATGCTTGTGTTCTCAGAAGACCAGAAGTGGCCGCGCGTGTCCTTCCCGTTGTAACTTCAACATACTGCGATATGTCAAAATCTGTGAGACCGTACATGCATTTATAGAAAAATATCAAGTCCTTCTGTTCTCTGTCGTATACAAGCGGGATTAAATTAAGTTGCATTAAGCGCTGTTTGTAACTTAGTTCTCCGCGTTTCTTCTTTAGTATCCACAGTGTTGCTCTTCTTTGAACTCCTTCGATTTTCTTTGATAAGTGGCTGTTGTTAGGAGGACACCATATCTCGCTTCCATAAACAAGTTGAGATTTAACTAGCGTTAGATATAAGGTCCGTCTGACCTGGGTGTGGTTAATGTCAAAGCATGAGCGTTTGAGGATACCAAGCATTTTATTTGCCTTCGCCACCATCTTCAGTATGTGTGGGCCCCATTTCAAATTGCTGGTCACGAGCATACCAAGATCTTTCTCGACTTGACAAGGAGATAATTCATTACCATATATGCGATATGGAAATCGCGTTGGGTGTTGCTTTCTTGATATTGTCAGCACTTTGCACTTTTCAGTGTTAAATCGCATTTTTGAATCAGTGCTCCACTTTTCCAGTTTGGCAAGGTCGTCTTGCAGGAACTGGCAATCTTCTACCGATTTTATTTCTCTGTATAACTTTGAATCATCTGCATACAGTGCTGAGTTCGTACTGGGTGAAACGTTATCGGGAAGATCATTTATGAATATAACAAAGAGCAACGGTCCAAGAATGCTGCCTTGCGGTACACCTGATGTTACTGGAGACCGTGCAGAGGCTGCACCATCAATGACAACTCGCTGCCATCTATCGTTCAAGTAGTTTTCGAACCATCGTAAAAGCGTTCCGTTTATGCCATGCATTTGTAGTTTGTGAAGTAGGATGTCATGATCTACAGAGTCGAACGCTTTCGAGAAATCTAGGTATAGCACATCGATTTGTTTGTTTCGATCCAGATTTTTACCAATGTCATGTAGTATACCTAGAAGCTGGGTTATACATGAACGATTTCTTAAGAAGCCATGTTGGACATTATTGATCAGTACACGAACAAAGGGGTAAATGTTATTGAAAACGCATCTTTCGAGAACTTTGGAAATTATTGGCAGAAGGGAAATGGGACGGTAGTTGGTCACGGGTTCGACACAGTCTTTTTTGTGGATGAGTACAACGTTCGCATGTTTCCATTCCATAGGTAGGCGGCCTGTTGTTAAGGACATGTTGAACAAACTGCAGAGGCTTGTCGAGATTTCTCTTGAGAATTCTTTCAGCAGACGTGGTGGTATTCCGTCTGGGCCATAAGCCTTTGTTGTGTCCAAATGGTTAAGGTACTGCTCGACTTCATTCTGCGAGATCTGAATATCAGATATTATTTCGTCAGTTTTCGGTGTCATGTTCAGGTTTGCATCTTGGGGAGATGACTTCAGAAGAAAAACAGAGGCGAAGAATGCGTTGAAAAGTTCTGCTTTTTTGTGTGGTGCTGTTGCAGTTGAGTTGTTGTACGTGTTATCAGGTGGGGAATTTCTATTGCGGAGGATATGTTTGTGGTAGGACCAGAATAACTTAGGTGATTTTGCGAGGGAATATTGAACTTTTTCTATGTATTGATGGCGTTTTCAAGTCCTTAGTTTCCTGTATCAACTGACGGAGTTTGCGTTTTCGTCCTTCCGTTCGTTTCTGACGATATTGTCGTAGAGCTGTATATTTCTTCTTAATCATGTGTTTAACATCCCGGTCTATCCAAGGTGGTGTGTTGGTGTCAACGACTGTCTTTTTAGGTACAAATTTATCTATCGCTGTGATAAATAGATCTTTCCATGCTTTCCAACATTCGTCTATATCTGAATTATTGGATATCGCAGAATCGAGAGGGACATTCATTAGATGTTCACGAGCACCATCGAAGTTTGCATTATTGAAGTCATACACTGTTCGTCTTATCGATTTTGCTTTTTGAAAACAAACTTTGATATCGAACTCGATAAGGTAATGATCAGTTGGAAATAGATCAGTTGGATTTGTGCAGTTCACGTTCGTGATGAGCTTCGGAGAATTCGAGAATACACAGTCCAATTTATTACCATGCAGGTGTGTCGGACCGACAGCTTTTTGGTAGAGGAATTGATCTGTAATAATCTCGCAAAAAAGTTCCTCCTTGAAACTGCCTTTAGATGTGGGAGAAGGAAAGTCCAATGACCAGTCAATATTGGGTAGGTTAAAATCACCGACCAGAACAAGTTGACATGATTCATCTAAACGATCAAGAGAGTCTCTCAACTCAATTAGTATATCTTCTTCAGAATTTGGTGGTCTATAGAAGAGACTTAATAGGAATTTCGAGCAGTTCGCAGGATACAGTTCGATCATGAGATGTTCACTTTGTTGACCTTCAAGTAGCAGTCTTCGAGATGAGCGCAGTTCATTTCTTATCGCTACAAGGACTCCGCCACCTCTCATGTTCCCGGGTCGGTCTTTTCTATGAATGGTGTAACCAGGTAGAATTTCGTTATCAAGAATTAATTCATTTAACCAGGTTTCGCACACACATACGATATCATGCTGTTCAAGATAAACAAGATTCTGAAGAATGGTCAACTTACTGGTTTTCTTTGTCTTGTCGTCCGTAGATTCTGCGGTTGCCTTTAGACTACGAGCGTTTAGATACAAAGCTCTTAAACTGTTCAGTTTTGCCCCAACTTGTTTTCTAGAGCTACCCAAAGCTGGTCCTGGATTAGTATGCACATCGCCACAGGCTAGAATAGCGGTGGTAGTCAAGTTGTATGACGCAGTGGTATTGCTGTAGTACTGAATCCTGGACTTGAGCCATTTGTGCTTTGTTGGGATTGGCGCAGGTACTTTATACGAGTAGGTGGGTTTGCCGAGAACGGAATATGACAACGTTCGATACGAATACGGTACAGCCGCGATACAAATGGCCACATGAAGTAAAAGAGTCACCGCGAGCAAACTTTGAAGCAGTTTATTTGAATGCAACATAATTCTGGCGAGATCTTTAATTCTACTTGTCGCACGCGCACAAATATTAATCGAACGAATTTCGCAATATAGTTCTTCGAATCACGTAAGAGTATCACGTATTCTGTGTGCGCACGCCAGAACCAACCGTCCAAGTAGCGCGCGAGCTCAAAACCAACTGTAATAATTTCTTGCAATTTCAGCCAAATCAATAAACAAATCCACAAAATACACAACGAATATCCAAGACTTTACCAATCAAATTTCTCTTTTCCAAAGACGAAAACTTCACACACAGTTCTTCTATGATTTTAATCCTCAATGTCGTTGAAAAAGGTAATTGTTTTAGATTTATTACGCAGCAATTGGACTCGCTGCTCGCGCGTCAAGCGCATCACGTCAATGGCACAGAATAAGAAGCTATAGCAGAAGCGTAACTCTAGTCGTTTCCCTTATTGTTTTACGTCCACGAAAATTTTAACTCGCTCACGCCATCCTGGCTAGTACAACCGGAAGTTTTTATCAGGTTTTGCTAGGTACAAAGTGCCGGTTGTACTAGCCAGGATGGCGTGATTGATGACGAATCGCTTGTAAAAACGCGGACAAATACTTGCTTGAGTTACGCTTCTGCTATACCTTCCTATTCTGTGTCAATGGTCAATTCTAATAAAATTAAATAAATTAATTATGAGTACAATTTTAAATGATAGAATATAGATTATGTTTTATTTGTTCTTCCAGATTAACAAAAAGGTAAGATACTTTAATTTGTCTAACGTTTCGGTTTCCTAAACGGAAACCATTATCAAAGACTATGAATCTATTAAAAGTTTTCCGTTACTACATTATTATTATTACAAAAGTGATGGATCTTTCCCATTTTGACGGTAAGTAACAAACAATAACTCTATACTGGAAGTTTTATATCATTATTACGAGTGTTCAGCAAAAATTTTGAATCAATATGATTAATTCCTCCTGAGTTACAGCGTCTTGAAAAACAAACGTGCTGACGTCAGCATTATTTTCGAACGCCTTCAGAACTGTGTTATATACAAAATTTAGTTAAAATTGACCATTTTATACCACCAAGCGTTTATCCAAAAATCAAAAGCTAAAATTAAGGCAACTTTGAGCCAGTTGTTTATATCAGGTAAAAAGTCCCGTCTTATTAAACCTTAACCAATAATTTTTAACTAAATTTTGTGTATAAAAGGCTCGTTCACACTTGCAATTCTTACTGCGATTTTAGGTGCAATTTTCTTCTTCTGATGCATGTGAAAGAGTGGATAAGTTATGAATGTTCTGATGAGGGTACATCTACGCCGAACATTCGTAATACATCGACTTGTTCACATGCATTAGGAGGAAATCGCTGTAGAAATCGCAGCAAAAATTGCAAGTGTAAACGGGCTTTAACACAGTTAAGGAGTTCGAAATAATGCTGACGTCAGCACTTTTGTTTTTCAAGACGCTGTAACTCAGGAGGAATTAATCATATTGATTCACAATTTTTGATCAACACTCGTAATAATAATATAAACAACATATAAAACTTCCAGTATAGAGTTATTGTTTGTTACTTACCGTCAAAATGGGAAAGATCCATCACTTTTGTAATAAAATATGTTGTCAGACGTCCATGTTTACAAACAGTCGCATGGCTACCATCGGAAAATATTGTGATGTTCCGGTATATTCCGGGAAAATGTCGTGATATTCCATGATATCCCGCCATATTCGGTGATATTCCGGCATATTCCGTGATATTCCGCCATATTCCGTGATATTCCGCCATATTCCGTGATATTGTGACAAAAACAATATCTCGTGACAAAAACAATATCTCGTGACAAAAACAATATCTCGTGACAAAAAAAAATATCTCACTCGTTCGCTGCGCTCACTCGTGAGATATTATTTTTGCCACTCGAACATAAAATCCATATCTCTTCGCAACCGTCTAATATCCTCTATATACGTGATAGAGATTTCCCTTGATTTGCATAAACTTTGATATTCTCGACTTACACAACGAATTTTTTGAAAATTACTTTGCCAATGAATTTACTAGATCGATCGTTTTTGAAGCAACTTTAAAACATCCGCAGTGCGTGATTTATCAGACCTAAATAGACTTGGGCCGCAGTGTTTTATGAGATATAAGCCATGTTTTAAATAGTACATAAAGATTAAAACGAAAAATTTTTTGTGTTAAAAATGACTTTTGAACAAAATTAAAGCGATCACGTAGGGCATTTATTTAAACATTTCTTTAAACATTTTTTAAAATTAAAGAAATAACACGCTTTAAGGAAAGTTGCATGGCAATTTTACACTGTTAAAAAAGATTCGCCTGTGGTTCAATGTGATTTAATGATAGAACTCAGTACCAGCCGTATCTTCAACCGTCTTTTCATCCCATATATCGGTTAATTCCATACAAAATGAGTACCATTGCTTTGTATATACAAGTATATAACAACATTATTATGCAACTTCCTTTCAATACCTTTATTCTGGCATCGTTTTCCTTTGTAACCAGATGAACATTTACACTGGAAGGAATTTCCAACATTTGAACATTCACCTTCATTTTCACATGGTCCAGAATCACAGGGAGATACTAAAACATTTTTTCACAATTTTGGTTAAAGGAATACAAAGGGTATCAATTAATAGCAATGTGCAACAGATACGGTGCCGTAATCGTACCTATTTCCTGACATCTTTTTCCTTTATAACCAGAAGGACATTTACACTCGAAGGAATTTCCAACATTTGAACATTCACCTTCATTTTCACATGGTCCAGAATCACACGGAGATACTAAAACATTTTTTCACAATTTTGGTTAAAGGATTACAAAGGTATACATTAATAGAAATGTGCAAAAGAAAATGAAATAGAACGAAGTCGTACCTATTTGCTGACATCTTTTCCCTTTATAACCAGAAGGACATTTACACTCGAATGAATCTCCAACAGTCGAACATTTTCCTCCGTTAAAACATGGTTCAGAATCACATGGCGATTCTATAGAAAAAGTATTTTTTTAATTAATAAAATAAGTGACGTTCCTGTCCTTTTAATGCGCGATTACTATTTGCAAAAATCCAAAACAAGCTAAGGAATTTATGTAATTTATAGAAATTTGTACAGTATAATAAATATTAATAATTGCGTGCTCAGCTGGCTACACCATCATTGCACATTTTTTACGTGGTACTGCCATTGCCCCAACCAAAATTATTAGTTTCGAAAGGTGAAATAGTTTTGAAAACGAACGCCAAGGAGTTTTTCTAATCCTTATTTTTCCTTTTCCGATAATATGCCCGTGATCAATATGTGTATCCTTTGTGAGTAAATCCCCGTTTGAACGTTTTTCATAATTGTTAACATTTCGAATATGTTCTTTCTTCCTTGTTTCGAATTTGGAGCCCTCAATTTGTTTCGGCAAATCTCTGGGCACCCTTTCTATTATCCCCAACCCGCAAATGTCCCTGAAATAAGTGAAACCACCGTTGGCTTAATTACGGACAGAATTCACGGCATATCACTACCTTTCTGTTGACATCTTTTTCCTTCAAATCCAGGAAGACAAGTGCATTTGAAAGAATTTCCTTTCGCTGTACAATTCCCTCCATTTTGACATGGAGCTGAGGAACATGGTGAACCTGAAATAATTTAGTTAGTTTAATTCAAGAATATATGGAAGATGCGTGCACAAGATTATACGTAATGAAACACAACGTTTTCTGGTTAGATATAAATATAAATACATGACGAGAATTTCGACGTTTCGAGCGATGGCCCAACTCCAGAGGAAGGGCCTTCGTTCGAAACGTCGAAATTCTCCTGATATATTTTCACTCAGGTAGTTGCATCCCTACCAACGAAATCTTGTTCATTTTATTGGCACTACCTAGACTGGCAAAGACAGTTCAAGATTATTTCCGGCAGACCTATACCCTTCAACAGGTGAAAGAATATTACTTACATTGATTAATTGAAAGCCACCTACCTCGAATAGCTAGCTAAATGTAGGTGGTTTCTTGTAAATTATTTTGAAAAATTTATTTAATAAAGTAGATGTTAGAACGTCGTTTCACCAATGCAGTTCCATGTAGGGCAATCTCCGCAAGGGATTGATAAGTACTAGTTAAAACATGAGCAACCGATCTTTATCTGATATAAACGACCCATCTTATGAGTTCATTGGCATTGGCGAACTGAGTAATTTTATATTTCGGTTGAAAAAAAGCTAAACCTATGACAAACATGTGTTAATTGTTGCAACTGACCCGTATGGAAAGGTCTTCAACCCGCTTTGGAATTGCATTTTCAAGCTTTAAACCCTGTGGAAACAGAATTTTTCTCCCATTACCCGTCTGGAAAAATTGACTGATTAGCCCCCATGGAAATCAAGGATTTTCACAGTATGTACTCAATAGCCCAATGGTCCCTTTACGGTAAATTTTATTTAAAAAATTATAAAAGATATGACAATTAACACAAGTTTGTCATAGGTTTAGCTTTTTTTTTAACAAATATAACATTGACGTGTTGAACTTACGTCATATTTTGTTTGAAGATAATTAGCATATTATTTTTGTTCTCTCAGGATGGAAACATTTATATACAAATTTGAATAATACATGAGATGCAATATGAATTATTGATGAATCGATCGTTTACTATACGATCGAAAGAGTTTGGAAAATTACAATACATTCAAATATTGTAAACGGTCGCTATCGCGGCGTTGATTGGCTGGCTGTTCCTGGGAATAGGTGTTTGTTATTTGCATTTCCCCCTGACAATCCATAATCGAAAATGTATAACAATCCAACAACAATTCACCCTATACAGGTGGAGTATACCTCTTCTTTGATTACTGATCATTTCAGTCATAAATTTCAGGACTCAGAAAAATTACCTGTAAGAATCTTTTCCTTGAGTAACTATATTATACACAATTAAAATGACAATATTAATATGATTCTATACCCTTTTTTTGGCATCTTTTCCCTTTAAACCCAGGAAGACAAGTACATTTGAAAGAATTTCCTTCTTCTGTACATTTCCCTCCATTTCGACATGGAGCTGAGGAACATGGTGAACCTATAGAATGACAGTTGACGTGTTTTGAACACTGTAATATTGCTGTAGAGAGCGGCCCTCTATTCCTCTTTTAATCAACTGAAGGCAGTGTATGAGCATTATTAACAACTTTAAAGACTGTTTCTCTCAGTTCTCTCTTTGCGTGAATGCATATTTAATAACTATTTCCAACCCAAAATATTTAATAACCAGTGTTGCCGGCTCACTATTAAATGGCTCTTTCCCACTTTATAAACCTACCACAACCATTTTTTCTTGTTCTTTGTCGTGTTCTGAAGGCTGAGCAGAAAATGTGAAACCCGGTACGCGGGTCTCACATTCAAAGTCTTAAATTCGGGACTTGAATTTGCAACAAAACCCTTAAGCCCCACATCTCCTTTTCGACTAGAAAACGCTAAACGTCTCTGAGTCGAGAAAGAGACAACAGCCGTGTACCTCAGAGCCGATCAAACTCTACCGTTAGGTAAGAGTAACTATCATTCGGCGCACGCGGCCTAGCTGTATCAACCGTCAAACTTGCTTGTGCAGGGAATTTATACAGTAATGATATACTCAATATTTAAAGATGCTGTAAAGTCCGCAATGTAAACAAACGCTTTGTTTACATTTTGAACTCAGTGCTACAGTTGTAAAGAATGATTCGATATATATTATGCTGAATTTTTAACACTCTTCTGGTTCGCTATATGCTTGTAAATGAATACAGACTAGAGATTCAATTCAAGAAATTTCGGAAGGTGCGAAACATTAATAACATTCCAACGGTCGGGTCCCGAGGTCTGCGCAGAACGTATGCACAGAAAGGACTTTAAAGCATCTCTAATGGTTGTTCCCCACTGTAAATGTATGAGGGTTGTTGCTAACCTGAATCTTAACCTACTCGTTTTCATACATATACATAATACGGCATCATCGGACACCTCGACCCTCAGGTAACCCCATGGTGGTTGAGGGAGGAGTGCAGATTAAATATGTTTCAAAGGAATCCTTAAATAATCAAAGACACTTCTGAATTTCCCAATAACTGTGTTTGGAGTGTTTATCACACATGGAAGCTCAAATTCATAAATTGATAGTAGATTATCCTAGAGCAATACTTGAAGCGCGTAGTGAGCATACTAATTCCAAATATAATAATTTCCACTGAAATATGGGAAATTCTGGATCTTGTTGGGTGGGCAGGTCGTCACCTCTTTCTCCAGTCTCCAATATCCCCATGGGGATAAATTGCTATTTCAATTCAATATATTTTAACTTACTACATTTCGCAAATTTCTTCAGATTTTTCCATTTGATTTCAATTCCTAAATCGTCACACGCTTCTTCGTAAGCAGCGAAAGATTCACATAAACACGCCTTAGGATTATCTTCACATGCGCAGACATCGTACTCGCAATCTTTTATATAACCTGCATTGGGATCTAAGGCTTTTTTACATCTTGAAAAAGGTTGTTTTTTAAGTGCAGAACATTCTTCTTTAGCTTTCTGTGCACGTTTACTGGCATTTTTACATGGGTCCTCTTCAACAGTTTCGACATCAGGACAACTGTCACCTATTTTCCAGGAATTTCCAAATGTTACTGCTTTCTGTACAAGTTTATCTTTCGGCGTCTTAAACTCGTCATCACGTTTGCCATTAAAGTTGCCACAAAGACCAGATAATTTTCCTTTATAACTGTTCGTAACTTTGACAAAAACATTAAATACGCCATTATATTCAACAATTAAATCAATGTCTGTTGTGATCTTTATGCCACGCTTCTTAAACGTTTTGATATTTATTCCTAAACGAATATATGAAAGAAAGTTTTAAGTTTAATTGAAACAATTAAAGCAAAGGGTCTGAATTTGAACAGTGGTATAGTTAGGTAACATAGGAATAGTTAGGTAATAGTAAGTAATGAATTAAATAATTAAGTAATATATACAAGAGGTATCACATAAATACGAATCATGCATATATAAAGAAAATAATTTTTTTATCAAATGGCCTTAATATTCAAAAAATGTTTCAGCCCTGCCTGCTGGCCACAAAATACAATAGGCCAATGCGCATATTAATATCGTGTAGTATCGTTTCCATGCATACCTTGGTTTGAATATGGCAATGTTACATTTGCACCATTGACCAACACATTTTCTCCTCTTCTCAGGTATATTATCGTTCCTTGTATGTTTACCGTGATGGCATTTGTACATGTCGCTTTTCCCCTACCACATGGTTCACTGTCTTGTAGAATTATAAACGTTTCGTTTGAGTCCTTGGCCAAGACGTACTCACATTTTCCCATGAAGTTGTAACGTCTTCCATCAAATGTTTTGTAATGAGGATCACCTGTTGCTGAACATACTGCTACGACTGAAATGAGAAAACATCCAAGTTTCATTTTGTATTTTTGGTGTAGCCTGTTGCGTTTTGTTGACAAAGTCATATGTTGTATGAATTGACGATTTTGTCTTTCAGATAAGCAGTTTTAATATTATTGAAGGATTGTCCTACTAGAGCAATAATTAGCTCTGTGTCGTTTTTGAGGGCTCTTGATATATTTACAAAACGTTATATTGAGGAGAATATTGACCAGTAAAGTTGTACTGAGTTTAAGGTTTTGTCACAGTATAGTACTCAGATACATGTTCTTATCACTAGCAGGATTTACATGTGTTAGGACATTGGAACAATGTCTATTTCCCGTCAATATAAGCTATACATATGGTATATGATATTAGATCAAATCACAAATCCCCAATTTTGTGCATCACTTGAAAGTACCTTGAAATGATGAAGAATGGCCTTAACAATTTATTCACAGCTCATCTTCTTCCCAAGTTATCAGGAATTTTGTTTATAAAATAACATATATATAACGCCTGCTCTGATTGGTCGAAACCCGTGTTTGGATCAGGTCATCCAAGCACGAAAATTTAAAGTGAAAGTTTTTTAAAGTGAAATTTTAACGCGGAAAGTTGTTATTTTATAAAACAATTACTTTATTGTTTCCGTGTTTGGATGGCCTAATCCAAACACTTGGCTTTTCTTAACTCTCGCAACATTGTCATCCAAACACGGAAACCATAAAGTAATTGTATAATATTTGTGGTATGACGTCACTATGGTTGTGCTAAAGATGGCAGCAAAAAGACGAAAGTCTAATATACCAGAAATTCAACGAAATTAAATGAAATTGGTAGTGAGTAAGTGCGCATGAGCAAACATTTTGAAACGTTTCTATGGTATGGTTGTCACAGTAATACATTAGTTACCAGTACTCTCTTGTCCTATTTGTCCAATTCTTTGCTTCCAACAAACAAGACAGTCGTTTTTGTTATGTTCATTTATTTTTATCGTTGTTAGACATCACTAAAATAAGAAGGGGAGACCTGATAACCAGTGTATTACTATGACAACCGTATAAACGTTCCAAAATGTTTTCTTAGACGCACTTACCAACTGTACCAAATTTCATTCAATTTCGTTGAATCACTTCTGAGATATTAGACTTTCTTCTTTTGCTGCCATCTCGAGTACAACTGGTGACGTCATGACACAAAAATACAAAATGCTCGATAACTTGGGAACGAGATGAGCTGTGAATAAATTGTTCAAGCCATTCTTCATCATTTTTAAGGTACTTTTAAGTTATGCATAAAACTTTAAATCTTTTTTGTGTGAAACAGTTAAGAAATTATTTTTGAAGCCTGATTTGCTTCACTTGCTCAATTAACGGGGCGACTGCAAAGTTTTGTAATTTTTCCTTTCATAGTACGGCCCGGGTTGACTGAGCCAATCCTCCCTCTTCAAAAGATTTCCCACCATTATCATAATAGGGATGTTATTAGGGCGTTAGTGAATTTGATTTATTCATTGGTAGATTCCAAATGTTTATCAAAAATAGAGTCAGTTACAGAGTCAGTACATGTTTTTAATAAACGATATATCCAGGATTGTGTATGTAAAATTTGTCCCGTGCATCATTAGTACACGTAATACATGATTTTTAGTGCAAATTGGATACTACAGTTTTTCAAAAACAAAATTACAGATTACTATAAGTAAGTCAGAACGAAGGACATTGTCAATTTTCCACTATGAAAATCTCACTAGATATCAGTAGATCATGTTTTAATTAAACATGTATATGAAATACGTTTTATAAATTGTAAAAGAGGTTTGTGTAAAGGCTTCAAAAACTCATTAAAAATTCATGAGGAAAACAGTGACTCAAAGAAAAATCATAAGCGTGTCGTATCTTTATATATGTGATAGAGATTTCCCTTGATTTGCATAAACTTTGATTTTCTCGACTTACACAACGTATTTTTTGAGAATTGCTTTGCCAATGAACTTACTAGATCAATCGTTTTTGAAGCAACTTTAAAACATCCGCAGTACGTGATTTATCAGACCTAAATAGACTTGGCCAGCAGTGTTTTATGATATATAAGCCATGTTTTAAATAATACATAAAGATTAAACGAAAAATTTTTTTGTGTTAAAAATTATTTACTTTTGAACAAAATTAAAGCGATCACATGGGGCATTTATTTAAACAATTATTTAAACATTTTTTATAATTAAAGAAATAACACGCTTTAAGGAAAGTTGCAATTGCATGGCAATTTTATACTGTTATAAAAGTTTCGCCTGTGGTTCAATGTGATTTAATGATAGAACTCAGTACCAGCCGTATCTTCTTTTCATCCCATATATCGGTTAATTCCATACCGAATGAGTACCATTGCTTTGTATATACAAGTATATAATAACATTATTATGCAACTTGCTTTCAATACCTTTATTCTGACATCGTTTTCCTTTGTACCCAGATGAACATTTACACTGGAAGGAATTTCCAACATTTGAACATTCACCTTCATTTTCACATGGTCCAGAATCACACGGAGATACTAAAACATTTTTTCACAATTTTGGTTAAAGGAATACAAAGGGTATCAATTAATAGCAATGTGCAACAGATACGGTGCCGTAATCGTACCTATTTCCTGACATCTTTTTCCTTTATAACCAGAAGGACATTTACAGTCGAAGGAATTTCCAACATTTGAACATTCACCTTCATTTTCACATGGTCCAGAATCACACGGAGATACTAAAACATTTTTTCACAATTTTGGTTAAAGAATTACAAAGGTATAAATTAATAGAAATGTGCAAAAGAAAATGAAATAGAATGAAGTCGTACCTATTTGCTGACATCTTTTCCCTTTATAACCAGAAGGACATTTACACTCGAATGAATCTCCAACAGTCGAACATTTTCCTCCGTTAAAACATGGTTCAGAATCACATGGCGATTCTATAGAAAAAGTATTTTTTTAATTAATAAAATAAGCGACGTTCCTGTCCTTTTAATGCGCCACGATTACTATTTGCAAAGAATCCAAAACAAGCTAAGGAATTTATGTAATTTATAGAAATTTGTACAATATAATAATTATTAATAATTGCATGCTCAGCTGGCTACACCATCGTTGCACATTTTTTACGTGGCACTGCCATTGCCCCAACCAAAATTATTAGTTTCGAAAGGTGAAATAGTTTTGAAAACGAAGGGCAAGGAGTTTTTCTAATCCTTATGTTTCCTTTGCCGATAATATGCCCGTGATCAATGTGTATCTTTGTGAGTAAATCCCCGTTTGAACGTTTTTGTATCTGCGCAGCAGATATACTATGCTATCGAGTTTGCTTTATCTGTTAGCTGTTAGCTGTTAGCTTGCAGCCAATCAGTGTCTAGTATTTTAGCTTGTGACCGTCCTTAGCCAATCAGCGCACTATGCGGAATTGACTATTCAGTGTAGAACATATAGATCAGTGAGAAAACCGTACAATCGCAGCAGCCTGTTCGCAGGCTAAATCAACATGGCGGTACGTTCCGATGTTTCGAGCTAATTTCGAGGAGTACTTTATATATTTTTACTCTTGTCGATTTGAACTGTGTTTGAAGTGTTTTTGTTTTAAGGTAAGAATTAAAGAATCATAATCAACAATTTTCAATGTACTAATGTGTAAACAATATTCAGTGTAGGCTACCAGTGTTTAAACATGAATGCAATTTCTACGATGTGTAAAATACATCTAAAATGTTTTGCATATCTCGATTATATGGCGATGATAAAGAAGATTGTCAAGTTATCAGTGTGACATCCCAGTTTATGTATCAACATTATGATGTCACAACTCAGTTGACCTATTAAGGAAACCTTTGTTACTGTTATGGTAATAATCCGAAATACTACAGCAAGTGGAATTTATAGCAGCTATTTCATTCAATATGAAAACTAGACCTGAAAACTTTGTTTTACTGTATATAATATATGCTAGTGATATTAATTTTAAAAGTATTATATTTTGTGCAAGTGTAGTATTGTTTGAATGGAATTTGTATTTCGTGACTGCATGATTATTCGTTATGATCATAATGACATTGTAAAATTAGTATGTTAAATTCTCTTTCCCCTGCTTACAGCCCTGGTAGATGTGTATTATGCTTGATCTTAATATCTAATTTGCTATTATATAATAAGTGATGAAATATATATTTCAATTGTTCATTGGTGTCACAGATGTACATCTGTCGAAACTACAACAGCTACAAAATACAGCAGCACGTCTTATCTGTTCTATCCCTAAACATGATCACATCACTCCGACTCTCATCAAATTACACTGGCTTCCTGTTCGATTAAGGATCAAGTTCAAAATTGCCATGCTTGCTTTTAAATGTATCCATCAGTATGCACCTCTCTATCCTGTCAGTCTTTTAAAAGTAAGAAATACATCGTGCTATAGTCTAAGATCTAATGAAGGCACATTGCTTGAAGACTATAGTACAAAAACAAAGAAAACACTCAAAAAATCTGGAATGAATTACCTATGTATATAAGAAATCTGCATAACTTTAGTATTTTCAAGAAATTAGTTAAGACTTATTATTTTCAAGAAGCCTTTAATGTAAATACTTCATGTAACATATAATCTATATAATCTTGTTTATATTTTTTAGAATAATTTTAGTGTAATTATGTTGTGATGCGCATTTGATCATACACTATAACATGTTAATTTGCGGAATATAAATATTAAATATTACTATTATTATTATGATTATTATTATTCATTTCCTTTCAAGAAAATACTAAATGTGACTCCAGTTTTGCGCAGATACATGTACGCGTAGCGTACCTATTTTTGATTACGTCACTGACTGAAGTCATCCTTAGGAGCACCTCCTCCAGTAATATCACAGGAGGCCCAGGCTCGATTTCCCCGCGCCCGCCTGTGCCTTCCTTATAACGTGGGAAGGAAGGAGACATTGAGACCAAAATAGCCCAGACTTGGCATATGTCACACGAAACTATCCTCGATTTTTCGCTTTTAATGCATTTCTTTCACGATTAATCGATATACCCTGCAAGAATGATACCGTATAACTCTCAAAACAACGATGCTTTAATCAAAGAGCTTAAATTCGCTCTGAAATCCGTGAGGGAATAACAAAATTCGGCCAAAATATATCCGCGTGCCGGGTTTGCTGTGCAAAAAGCGGAAGTCGTTGAACAACTCAAAATACACTCAACCTTGATTGGACAAAGAATATCAACAAACATTTCAAATTTTTTTAACAGTACTGTAATAATTTCAAGCATACAAACAAAACTATTCACAAACGTTATAATAAAGTGTAAATATTACTGCATGTAAATATAACTGTAGTATACGTTAATATGTATAATAAATTGTATTTCACATTGTGTTTGTTAAAAAAATTTGAAATGTTTGTTGATATTCGTTGTCCAATCAGGGTCGAGTGTATTTTGAGTTGTTCAACGACTTCCGCTTTTTACACAGCAAACCCGGCACGCGGATATATTTTGGCCGAATTTTGTTATTCCCTCACGGATTTCAGAGCGAATTTAAGCTCTTTGATTAAAGCATCGTTGTTTTGAGAGTTATACGGTATCATTCTTGCAGGGGATATCGATTAATCGTGAAAGAAATGCATTAATTAAAAGCGAAAAATCGAAGATAGTTTCGTGTGACATATGCCAAGTCTGGGCTATTTTGGTGTCAATGTCTCCTTCCTTCCCACGTTATAAGGAAGGCACAGGCGGGCGCGGGCAAATCTAGCCTGCGTGGCAGGCGGTATTTCTACAGGCAGCGAAAATTAGGGAGGCAAAGGAAATACCGTCTGCCGCAAAACTAGGGGTTTTTGAATTACCCGTCCGCTGGTGAACGGAAAAAACGGATTGGTTAGTATTTTTATGTAGTTGTCAATCAACGGCTAAATTCGGTTAAATGTTAATCATTAACCAAATGTTTTGACGTTTTGAAACTCAGCGTTTTGATTTTTGAAATTAGTTCACAATCACAAGTCAGACCATGCAGAAATGGAATACCATAATAAAAGAGGCAAATTTAAAGATACAAGCTGAAAAATAACACTCTAAATAGTATTTTTGATGGCGATTCGAACAAGAATATTTAACAAAGAAGATACGTCCGAAGGGGCCGAAGTTATGATCGGCGAAAGGTATGGGCTAGTCTATATTTTCTTTCAGACAAATACATGCGTATATTAATTTGATAATATACGATCTCCCTTGACTTTCAAAGGCCATAAATCGCGATAATGTTGACATTTTACTAAAACTATCGATAGAAATTAGGAGATATTTCTTCACTGAATCGAACGGTGGGGTTTTCATATGGACCTATAATGTTCTGAACCAAAGATACTTGATAGATATACGAACCTCCAAAGTATAAACTAGGGGTATGGGCTGGTTGATGCAGTAATTATTAAATAACAGTTAAACTCTTATATACCCGTTGAATATGTATAGTTGTAAACAAATAAACACTATCGTTCTATAAGGTTCAAAACTTTCAGTTTGGTTGTTGACTGATGATGAATCTATAGTATAGACTTGCATGCTTTGTATTTTGAGCTTATTAAACCACCATTTTAAAGGGTATGGGCAACAAAATTTTTTATTGATTTTATTGCTTCATCTGAAAGAGCATGAAAAAATAAGCCGATTGGCCGTTTACTGCTCTATTCTATCTCATCTGGTTCCGAAGTTATACGCAAAAATGTGCAAAATATAAATTGCTGATTCAGCACATTCTGTGACGTCATAAGCTGGGTAAGTATGTTTATTGAATAGTAAACTAAAGCATAGCTGAGTTATTATTGGCTCAAATCAAATGAAATTTTGCATACAGATAGTACACAGCCAGAAATCTCACAGCCCTGTCGCAAGCTGTTGATTTTACCGGCTTGCGGCAAGTTGTCAACAAGTCGCGACAGGTCTGTTGGTTTCGTCAGGCGGTAACAGACTTGCGGTAACAGGTCTGTCGCAAGCTGTTGACAACAGAGCCGTAGCGACTTGTTGAAACAACCCGCTACAAACCTGTTACTAACAAGAGATAACAGGTCTGATAGAACAATTTGCAGCAAGTCTGTTGAAATCAACAGGTCTGTTACAACCTGTTCCAACAGACCTGTCGCGAGTTGTTTTTGTCAAGTCTGCAGCAAGCTTGTTATCAGACCTGCGACAAACCTGTCCACAACAAACAATTTTTGTCCTGTCACAACCAGTTTCAACAAGCCTGTTGTAGGGAAACAAATCGAAAATGTGAGTAAAGAGATATAAAATCGCACGAAATGGACACTTCCGGCTTCACTTTCTCATTTAATCATTGTCATTGGTGGCGATATTAAATCACATAGGAGAGATTATAGTCCATAGTATCTATTCTCTGATTATTATAAAATGCAAAAGCCGCTGTTTTATTTTTTTTAAAAAGTTCCGATTTCCAAAATCCAAATTCCAATTTGCTGACGTGTGCTATCGCTATATTTCCTTAATCTGATTGGATAAACGCGTGTGCACACGTCATCATTCCTCGTTGCAATTGGGCGAAATATTACAAACATATCAATCACGTAATCATGTTTAGTTGTTTTTCAACAAAATTTCAACAACTGCCTCAAACAAAATCAAACAAGTTCAAAGCTGTTTTGATTTTTGAAGAAACTGTGGCAATGAGAATACAAAGATCTAGAGCTTAAGAAATGAACAATACATGAACAACCGAGTGTTCACTGCAACGTTCGTCATTGTTGATATGAACATGAAATTCGTTATATAATTTCTTTCCAATTTCAAGTGAAATCTGCGAGCGAGGAAGACGCCTTATTGAAGCTTTGTGTTATGGTATGTACTGTTTTGAAGAAAAATATGCAAGTAGGTTGTCATATTTCGGTCGTACTTAAAGACAATTAATTTTGAA